ATGTAAAAGCTATTGAGGGTCCCTTAAGTGTGTAATTGGGTCAAATGAGGCCCAATAAACATCTATTATTTATATTACGCCCAAAAGTCATGTTAATGGGTCACGAAGGCCCAAAAAGCATGATTAGAATCTTTCAAGCCCAACAATTTGAATGTTTACTTGTTTTGTATACTATAAATGTCGGAAATTTTGTTTGACAATTGTTGAATCGCAAAGGCACAAAGTTTGTCGATTGTTTTATAACGATATTTAGATTTATGAAAATATATGTATATTTTCATTCTAAATTCGTAAGTTATAATGTGCTATTTTTGACCCAAATATCTTAATAATAAAATAATTGACTCAAAAATATTTGTTTGACCTATTCAGCCCTTCTTTAATAAAAATGACAATTTTAGTCCCTTTTTATAGAAAAAATGACATTCTAGGTCATTAAACTATTTTTCTTGACATTTTGGCCCAAAGACTTATTTCGATAAGGTTGTCAGCCCAATGTTTACTTTTTGGCAGTTTCAGCCCCTTTAGTAAAAAGGTTTTCATTTATAGTCCAAACTTTTCGCAACTTTTACAAATTTGACCCAAAATCCAAAAACTTTACATTTTTAATCCTTTTTGGCAAAAAGGGTCTTTTAGCCCTTGAAATAGATTTATTTACCTTTCTACCCACTGTTTTAAGAAATTTACCATTTCAGCCCCTTAAAAATCATATTTTTGTGCAAATTTGGGCCTATAGGCCGAAAAGCCCAAAATTTTAGCCCAATAGGCTAGAATTTACATTTTTAGCCCTTTGGAAAGGATAATGTTCATAAAAACTTCTATTTCAACTATTTTGACCTTTTGATCCTTGTAGAAACCGTGAATGACATCTTTTTCCCCAACTTTTGTTTATTTTTCAAAAATGGTCCAATAACAAACTCTATGTTGTTGTGTGCTTATTATAAAGATTGTGTGGTAGTTTATCTTGACATGTTAAGTGAAATATAACCTAGATCACATATTTTTCCTTCTTGAACTATAGATCTCAAATATATTACATTTTTGGCACATATTTACTACATAAACACAAGAAATAACACATAACATACAAATACATATAGATCTACACATTTTACTTGTATTCTCCCCCATAAAGCATGTGAAAACCGAAAATAGAGGGGTATTAACTCACCTTGCTTTGATGATCACGGTTTTGAAGAAGAAATGGAAGAGTTTGATGTTATTTTCGGCCCTAGCAAGCTTTCTTGGGTTGATTTAGAACTTAAGAAGCTTCTAAGGTGTTCATGGAATAAAACTTTATAAGAAAGAGTTCTAGAAGTTGTAATGGAAGAAGATGTTTGTGTTTGATAGCACTTACCAAAGATTAACAACTCTTGAAAAAAGATCCTTGAATCCAAGCTAAATTTTCGATATTTTCTTTGAAGGAAGAAGGAAGATGATTTTTGAGAGTAATAGGGAGAATTTGTGTAATGTGTGTGTGTGTGTGTTTCCTATCGGCCGAAAATAAGAAGAGAGGGGAGAAGAGAGAAAGGAGTGAAGTGATAGTTGCATGGAAACATGAGAAACTGAATGGATGTCCATCATGTATTAAGGAGGTAGCTAACCCTCCTTAATTCCCTTAATCCCCCCCCCCCTTTTTTGTTTTCTACTTGGGGCGAGAGAGGGAAAAGGAAAGAATGGCTTGGGCCTTTTGTGCTTGAGGCCCAATTTGATGGTTTTCGGCCCATTACGCCTTTAAAGTAGTTCACGGCCCAATTCTTGCATAAAAGAATGGATTTGAGTTCATTAAAGATATTTGGATTTGTTATGGCCCAATAAGGACCGTTTAAGATAAACTAGTCCATTTTAGGCTTATAAGGCCCAAATTGTTAAGTTTCATGCAAGTGGGCCCAATTAGGGTAATTTATTTCATTTTAGGCCAATTATAACCCAAAATGTTAAGTTTTATGAAAGTGGGTCCCATTAGAGCCCATTTAAGGGTTCTAGGCCCAAAATAGTCAAATTGGAAGCTTATTGGTCCATTAGGCCCAATAAGGAAATCCTAGTCCATAATGGACTTAAACTGGGATTTCTAGGGTTTCCAACATTTTGTTGACTATTTGAATGTTTGTACAGAGTGTTTGATGAAAGTTTTGTTGTCATTGAATACACATCATACATGCTTTCAGGTTTTAATCACAATGTTATCATTGTTAAGTGTTTACAAAGCACCAGAATTCCTAGTTGTGACATTAAGCTTTGTAAGTATAATGATCTTTAAGAAAAGCTACCGGCAAATGACTATAAGTATGTAATAAAAAAAAGTAATAGAAGGATTGAATGTGCAAAAAAGGCTATATATATATATATATATATATATATATATATATATATATAGAGAGAGAGAGAGAGAGAGAGAGAGATGTAGGCATCACACTATGTTTTCCGCACATGAGATCTTCAGGATTACACTCTGATATTATTTTATGATAACATGATTGACACTTTGGTTTTGACATGAGATGTTATTATTGATGTTTTTATACTTATGGTTTTATAATAACTTAATTAAATGAATTTTTTTTGGCCTTGAATTTTGGGATGTTACAAGTTGGTATCAGAGTCTTGGTTTGAGGGATTCGGACACACTCCTGGGTGTGTTTGAACTCAAAATAAGGACTTGGTATGAAAATTTTCAAAAGTAAAATCATTTTCTAAAAAGAATTTTGAAAAGAGAAAAGAACTTTGAAAAGAGCAATGGGTGTGATGCGTGCAATCAGCCGAGCTCAAGTAAGTTTTCCCCAAGATACCCATACATAGTTAGATTGTTTACGGTTCAATGAACTTGAAGATAATTTCTACATGTTAACAGAAATGAGTGAAGTAATAAACACACCTATTTTTTTCTCCGTCACAATCTTCTTTACTGTCGGTGCCAAATCAACCTTATGAAACAAGAGGCAAGTATGCGGAGGCCAGGAAACCAACAATGATTGGACCGGTGGCCGAAAAAATGGTAATAAACCAACGGAAGGGGGATCATTGCAGATTTGCGTAAGAACATTGATTTTGAAACCAATACTTGCTTTTCAATCAAAATCAAAATCACCACCAAGGCCATGGAAATCGATTTCACAGAAGGTGGCTCAGTGGAATGTACAAACGAAACCCTACAGATGGTGATGGACGATGATTTTTGAGGCCGATCGTTTGAAAATAAAGAGGGGAGAAGACTAGGTTTTAGGAAATTAATTAATTACCATAATTAAATATGCAATGGATTACTATAATACCCTTAAGTAATTTATTTAATGATTTATTATTTCTTAAATTCTCATTGGTGCATACATGCACACAGAATAGTTGCTAGAAACATTTGAACATATATATATATATATATATATATATATATATATATATATATATATATATATATATATATATATATATATATATATATATATATATATATAGGGAAGCGTTCAATCGAGAAAAATTCTTATCACGAAAACATTTGAAAACAAATTTGAACCACATAATTTTTTTAATTAAAATTATAAAATAATATTCATATAAATCAAAAAATAGTTACAAAAAACTCACTAACTAACATCACGCACAACCCAACCAACATCACCCACCACCACCCACGACCTACGGCCTACCACCCATCACTACCCACCACCTGCCACCACCACCCACCCACCACAACCATTACCCACCCACCACCACCAACCACCACCCGTCACCAAAAAAAAAAAAAAAAAAAAAAAAAAACCCTGCAATTTTTTCAAAAAATTACAAGTTTTTAAAAGAAAGGTACATTTAAAAAAAATTGTAATTTTTTTTAAAAAAAAAACTGCATTTAAAAAAGAAATTACAATTTTTTCAAAAAAAAAAAAACTACTTTCTTTTTTAAAAAAACTAAATTTTTAGGTGCATATATGTATATTTTTTCAAATGCATATATTCATATTTCTTATACTATAATATTCGTTAGTAAATATTAAAAAATCTCATTTTTATTAAATAATCTATAAACATAATAGTACAATAATTTTATTCGATACAAAATAAAATATAATAAATAAAAAAATGCTACAAATTTCAAAGCGTTTTCATGTCTTCGTGTCAATATTTCCTTATTTTCTTCAATTTATAATTTTTCACCTCTTCAATATTCATCACAATTTCTTCCAAATCTACAAGAAAATTAAAAAAAAAATTGATTGATGCAAAAACACTCACAAAAATACATATGTGATTTTCATGTGATTAACATATGAATCACATGCGATTCACGTATGAATCACATTTACATGTGACATCTTATGTAAATCACATGCGATTTACATATGAATCATATGTGATTCAAATGTGAATCATATGTGATTCAAATGTGAATCAAATGTGATTTACATGTAAATCACATATGATTTACATGTGAATCACATGTGAATCAAATGTGATTTATATGTGAATCAAATGTGATTAGTATGTGATTTTCATGTGAATAACATATGAATGTGTACATATATACCTAATTCATATATAATTCACTTGTGATTTACATGTGAATCACATATTATTCATATATGATTTACATGTGATTATTATGTGAATCATATGTGATTTACATGTGAATCACATATGATTTACATGTGAATCACATGTGATATACATGTGAATGACATGTAAAATGCTACTTTTTCATTGAGGCATTTCATCGAACATTTGGTGTTCATAAAAAATCTATACAAATATCAACTTTACTAGTTATTGTGATTGTGTGTGTGTGTGTAATTATAGAGATAAGAGTGACCACCTGCAACATTGATAAACTCTACAAATATCAAGTTTACTAGTAGAAAAGTTCACAAATCCATTCTGATGTATTATGTGTAGATAATATATTGAGTTATTGAAGGGTACCAAGGTCTAAAGTGGAATAAAAGGAAAATGAGAAGACAGAGATTGCATATTCTTGTAAAATACCTAAATCAGATTGCGTTTCAGATAGAATGTCTCCTATGATGTGAGATTAAGTATCAGACACTCGATTTTTCGTTCATTATAATCTTAATTTCATGAATTTCATGATAAAATCGAGTCTATCAGGTATATAGACTTGAAAGAACCCTACCCGGAAGCTCCCATCGATAGTGTCTGTAGAGATCAACTCCCGTGTCGATTGGGGGTTGCGGAATATATAATTAATTATGAGCTCGATGCCGGTGGGGGAAATCGGAAATCGACTGGTTTAGCAAAGGTCTGGTGACCTCAATGGTGGTCCGGTGAGAAACGATACGTGTAGATAGAATGGTGGAGCGGGGGGTGGGTGGGATATGATTTTTTTTAATTGTAAAATTGTTCTCAAATGTTTTCAATCTAAAAAATATTTTCATTTGAATATATATATATATATATATATATATATATATATATATATATATATATATATATATATATATGTGTGTGTGTGTGTGTGTATATATGAGGATGTCTTGAACATGTAGAATTTTGTTTATGGATTTTGTTTTCTAGAATACATGTCGATCAAGAAAATCTAAGAAAACATAGAAAAATAAAGTGCATGTGAGTCAAGACTTCCGGATACCAAGAAAATGGTGTCCGACATCACACACTCGAATAATTCAACAATTTATCTCTTTTTGTGTTCTTTCTCTTTTTCCCACTAACCAACTCAAAATACTTGAGCACAAAACAAGTAGCAAAATTTCATCATGTGATAAAATATAAACCTTTAATAAAATAAATAAAATATCGCATCCAAAGTTTAATTTTGATATAATATCCGAAATTTTATTTATATATAAATTATCTGATTTATGAATTTAATTCAATCAACACTCCACCATCTTTGCCTTTGCCCTCTTGTCTGGCGCGTTCCCAAAAAGTGAAGAACCCTAACTAATTCTCTCTCTCTCCCTCACTGTCCTTCCTTTACTCTTCCCCTTAAATATTATCCTCATTTGCAAAACTAGGCACTTTCTTGATAAGCTTTACTATAATTTAAACATAGGTCTCCCTTATAGAGTAATGTAGCTCTTTCTTTCACTGTTGTTGACTTTGGGAATCAAATCTGTTTGCTATGTTGTCATCTATGGTGGATTAGTGAAGATGGTGTTATATCTGATTTGATTCTTTTCTTGGATCAATGTGAGTAAAGTTCTTATCTTTTTCATTTGGGTTTGATTTAAATGCTTTTATCTCTACTGGGTTTTATTAATTAAGTAAAAAAGTGAAGTTCACAATAATCTTTTTTTGATTCTCATCGTCGTCATCAATACGTACATATATATATATTTATTTATATATAAATATACACATATATGTATCTGTGTTTGTAAATGTGTGAATATAATATGCAGGTTGATCACATGGGTTATCAGATGCAAATGAAAGAATCCGTTTCAGATTGAATCAAACTGGTAAACACTCGAAATCTCCTTCTTTCTCTTGTTCTTGATTAATTTTATTACTTTCTAATCTTTTTTTCTAATAAATGATGTATCATTGTAGGAGGTTGATGATAACTGAAGATATGTTTACAATTATACTTTTATTTAGTCTTTTTATTATCGGGGAATCAGAGATTTATATCGTAACAATTGAAGGAGAGCCTGTTATAAGTTACACTGGTGGCGTTAGTGGTTTCGAAGCCACTGCTGTTGAAGCCGATGAGACACTTGATGTCACTAGGTTCGTGTTCTTGAAATTATTTTTCAAAATTTCCAATTCCTTCACATTAAAAAATCACAAAACGTTATCGTATTCTAGATTTTTCACTTAAAATGTTGCAATTATGATTATTTTAACACTTGAATCTGTTTTTTTTGTTAGTGATTTGGTTTCATCGTATTCCCTCCACTTGGAATCGAAGCATGATTCTCTTCTTGAAACTTTGTTTGATGAAGGAACTTACAAGAAACTGTATAGTTACAAGCATCTTATCAATGGGTTTGCTGTTGACTTATCTCCCCAACAGGTCAAAACCACGACTTTTTTAACTTTTAATTGTATAGTAACGTATTTTCATTTATTTATTTGTTTATTATATTTATAGCAACCAAAATTTGTCCCTTTTTGCTATTACAAGTTACAACAACATTGTAAATTACTAGAAATGAAGCTAGCCAACCATATATATACATGATTACAAAACATAGAAATAACTGAACTAACGGTAAATTACTAAAATACCCTTTTCACATAACTAACTCTGTAAAAAGAAAAGTGACATGGTTAACACATCTTTCAAAATACAATGCAGAAGGAAAGTAGGATGCTACAAACCTATAACTACAAAAATGAAAATAAATAAATAAATAAAAGTACATTGCTATTTCTTGCATATACCTTTGTCATAAACCAATCTTAACATATTAGTAGGCAGAAACACTTAGGGGATCCCTTGGTGTGAAATCAGTGGATAAAGATTGGAAAGTGAGGAAACTGACGACTCACACACCGCAATTTCTCGGGCTACCCACCGGAGTTTGGCCAATGGGGGGCGGATTTGATCGAGCCGGTGAAGATATCGTGATCGGATTCATTGATTCCGGTGTTTTCCCACATCATCCAAGCTTTCGGAATCCTGATTCCGAACCATATGGTCCGATTCCGAAGTTTAGAGGGAAATGTGAAGTTGATTCCGACACAAAGAAAAGTTTTTGCAACGGAAAAATCGTTGGCGCCCAACATTTCGCAAAAGCCGCCATTGCCGCCGGTGCTTTTAATCCCGAGGTTGATTTTGCTTCGCCTTTGGATGGTGATGGACATGGAAGGTTAGTATTGTCATTTCATTAACTTAAATAATTGTAGTTTCTTTTTGAGTAAATTACACGAATGGTCCCTATGGTTTAGGGTAATTTGCACGTTTGGTCCCTCACTTATTTTTTTAACTCGGAAGGTCCTTATTGTTTGTTTTTGTTACACGTTTGGTTCCTGTCTTACCTAAAAAAAAACTATTTTGCCATTGCTTTTTTAATTTATTTAAATAAACACACCCCAACCCCACCTCCCTCGTTTTACCTTACCTACCCCACCATTTTTCCCTATTTAAATAATAGTCTTTTTAGGTAAGACATGGACCAAACGCGTAACAAAAACAAACAGTAGGGACTTTCCGAGTTAAAAAAATAAGTTAGGAACTAAGCACGCAAATTAACCCAAACCATTGGCACCATTCATGTAATTTACTCTTTCTTTTTTAACTTAGTGAGATTTTATCTCTGGATATGATTTAATCTGGTAAGCTGTATGTATGGTTGTTTTTTGCTTAAAGTAGAAAGAACGACTTAACAAAGAAAGTCTCAGAAATGATGTTTTTCCATTAGGTCTTGAGTTTTTACAAATTTGCCCTTAGGAAAATAGTGTAACTTGGAGGTCAAAACTTGTAATTTCCATTTTCAATGGGATCTATTCCTATATATCATTGTCCATTGATATGAAATTCTTTGTAATTGTTATCAAATTAAACATACCTTATCGTGAATTTCTCAAACTTCTTCGGAATTCATGTGCTCATTTTTTTTTTTCAAAAGAAGTGACGTTTGACTTTGAGGTCAAACCTAGTACTTATAAGTTATTAGATTCCTCCTAACTCCAGTTCAAACTTATGACTTATGTATTTTTTTTATATATATAAATAATACTAGTACGTTTAATGAGTTCCGATGTGATCTATAACAATACGTTGAATCATTTTGACGTTAAAAGTCACAATGTTCCGATAGAGACATTGTTTGACTTATAAGGTCAAACGTAGCTAAACTTCTTCACAAATTCATCGCCGATATCTTCATACTTATATACAAATCAGATTTATAAATATCAATTTAATTTCACAATAACCTCGAAATCCTTTTAATTTTCATCCTAATAATATCATTCACATTTCACAGTCACACTGCAGCAATAGCTGCGGGAAATAACGGGATCCCAGTTCGAGTTCATGGATACGAATTTGGAAAAGCAAGTGGAATGGCTCCTCGGGCTAGGTAAATATAACAAACAAATTAAATAAATTATAAAACTTTTTTCACACATATTAATTATACTTATTTAAAAATATTAAAATACTAAACTTTCAAATGATATCTACAAACAGAATTGCTGTATACAAGGCGCTTTACAGGCTATTTGGAGGATTTGTTGCCGATGTCGTTGCTGCGATTGATCAAGCGGTTTATGATGGTGTTGACATTTTGAATCTTTCAGTGGGGCCCAATAGTCCTCCGGCCACCACCAGAACCACCTTCTTGAACCCCTTTGATGCTACGCTTCTGGCGGCTGTGAAGGCGGGAGTTTTTGTTGCTCAGGCGGCTGGAAATGGTGGGCCGTATGCAAAATCTTTGGTGTCTTATAGTCCATGGATTATGTCTGTAGCTGCTGCTGTTGATGATCGAAGATATAAAAACCATTTGACACTTGGAAATGGAAAGATTTTGGCAGGAATTGGTTTGTCACGTAAGTTTTATTTTTATCATTCTTAATCATGTCTTTGAGATGGGCAAAACAATTAGTACAGTTTGAGTTTGACTCAAACTGTCCATCGTCCTAGAATCAGGACACAGGACAGTTTGAGTTTGACTAGTTTTAGTTTGACTCAAACTGTCCATTATCCTAGAATCAGGACACAGGACACAGGACAGTTTGAGTTTGACTCAGAGTGTCCTGGAAACTGGTCCTAAAATAGAGAGCACTAGTTTCAAAGCAAACGAAAGGGGTCTAAAACAAAAGTTTTTTTAGTTGTTTATTTTTTATTAATACGAAAATAGAAATTTCGAATAATAAATATGTTAGTATATACTAATAAGAAAAGAGATTAATTGTTAGTATTAGAATAATCAATAAAGACGGATAGGAAGTTAATGATGTGAGTTTCAGATTACATACAATTAATGAAGTCGAATAAATATACGACATTGAGAACTAAAGATTAAATATCGGTAGAAGAATTAAAGATGTAACAATTTAAGATATATATACTCTATTTTCCAAGTTACGATTCTAGTTTGTAATTATAAAAAGTTAATAACATTTTGTTAGAGGTTTATTTAAAGCGCTAATCACAATAATGAAATGGGAAGGTTATATACTTATATTCACAAATGTATTTATTTGTGGTCCATACCAATTTTATTTTTTTAAATTGCAATTATTTAGTAGTGGGAACTCAATTTCACAAAAAAAAAGATATTTTTCGAAACATTAACTCATTATGATAAATGTTCAAAAGGTTGTTTGTGACATGATCTTTCCACTTTTGGCTATTTTACCGGTTTGCCATTTTCTAAATTTATTGTCATACTAATTACTAAATGATTATATAAAAATATTTTGTAAATCGATTCAATTTTTAATTTTTAATCTTTAAACTTCCATTATACAATCAACGAATGCAGCCGCTACAAGTCCAAATCAAAAGTACACTCTCGTTGCAGCAAACGACGTCGTATTAGATTCTTCAGTTACAAAATTCAGTCCTACAGATTGCCAAAGACCCGAACTTCTAAACAAAAACATGGTAAAAGGAAACATTCTTTTATGCGGATATTCCTTCAATTTTGTAATCGGCTCTTCATCTGTTACAAAAGTCGCCCAAACAGCAAAAACCCTAGGTGCAATTGGATTCGTTCTAGCAGTTGAAAATGTCTCACCAGGCACAAAATTTGATCCAATGCCTATCGGAATTCCGGGAATTTTAATCATCGACGTTGACAAATCAATGGTAAATCATAAATATTTGTTATAAGTTTTGCAATTTTGGTGTTTAAATTCATGGTAACGTTATTTGTAAAGTTTTTGAAATATGTAGGAGTTGATTGAGTATTATAAAGCGTCTACTTTAAGGGATTGGACTGGAAGAGTGAAGAGTTTTAAAGCTAGGGGAATGATTGGAAATGGTTTGGAGCCGATTCTTCATAAATCGGCTCCGGTAGTTGCATTGTTTTCGGCCCGTGGGCCCAATATAAGAGATTATAGTTATCGTGATGCGGATCTTTTAAAGCCCGATATTTTAGCACCGGGTTCTTTGATTTGGGCTTCTTGGAGCCCGAATGGGACGGATGATGTTAATTATATAGGTAAAAAAAAGGTTGATTTGGTTGATTTTATTTTGTAGGGTTTTATGTAGAAAGCTCTTGTTATTTTTTGGGAAATTTTTTGATAAAGTTCTTAACTCTTTTGGTTTTTGAACAGAAAAGTTCTGATTATTTAACTATTTTCCTATATTAACGAAAAAGACTTTTTTCTAGGGAAATCTACAAAAAAGTCTAAACTTTTTCGAAAAGTTTCAAAAAAGTCCAAAAAAATTTTTTTGAACAGAAAAGTCTCGTTATTTTGAGAAAATCACATAATCTGTTATTTGTTGATCAAATATAAAAAATGACTTTTTCGTTAATTTGAACAAAATGTCAAGTAATCGGGACTTTTCTGTTAAAAAAAACTTTCAGGACTTTATTAAAAAAATTCCCAAAATAATGGGACTTTTTTGCATTAATCCCTTTTTTTTAACAGGAAATGACATATTATGTGATTTTCCCAAAACAATGTGACTTTTCTGTTAAATTTTTTTTTTTAGGACTTTATCAAAAGTTTTCTCAAAATAATTGGATTTTTCTGCATAAAACTTTTATTTTGTAGTTCTCATCTAACCCAACTTTATTTTTCTACATCAAAATGGAGTTAAAAATTGGTACAATCACTACTTATTACATCAAGAAGTATATTACGTTTTTCTAACTTATATAGATTGCCAAAAATACCTCTTTTATTAATTAGTTTTTAACAAATATGTATTACATGTTTTTATTACAATAACTTTATAAATTATATCATCACAAAGTTATAACAAAACATAATATTTGAATATAAATTAATTTTTTTGTTGGAATAGGTGAAAACTTTGCTATGGTTTCGGGAACAAGCATGGCTGCACCACATATAGCAGGAATAGCAGCTCTTGTAAAGCAAAAGCATCCTCATTGGAGCCCTGCAGCTATTAAATCGGCTTTAATGACAAGTGCAAATATTTTGGATAGAGGCCAAAAACCGATTTTATCCGAACAACATTCGGAGTCAGAAACATTGATTTTTGTTCCTGCAACACCTTTTGATTATGGAAGTGGACATGTCAATCCTAGAGCTGCTTTGGACCCTGGTCTTGTCTTTGATGCAGGTATGTATGTTTTGACTTTTGACTTTTGACTTTTTTTAAGGTCAGACAAACGAATCTTTGACTTCAAAATCACAAAGGAAACCAAAAACTTTCACATAAATTGGAAAACCCTTTACCCTTCATCATAAACATAACATCAAAAACATGCATTTGTACCGTTATTGCAATGCAACCCACGTAAACTGTCCACTTAAAATCTAAGAGTGCGGTTGGTTTGGTTGTGGAAAATCTTTCGGTTTTCCATGAAAATTTTCGAATGAAAATGAAAATTTTGAAAACGCGTTTGGTCGATTTAGTTTTTAAAATTTTTTCAAGAAAATGAAAATTTTCTATTTTCCAAATTGTATATAAATTAGAAAAATGATTTTTACAATTTTCCAAAGTTTTCTAAATTTTCTAAGATGGAAAATAGAAACTCCATCGGTTTCAACCAATAAAAATAAAAACAATTTTCTGAAAATGTTTCTAGAAAAATAAAAACAATTTTCCACAACCAAACGCACCCTAAGGGTGCGTTTGTTTGTGGAAAACTGTTTTCATTTTCCAAAAAATTGTTTTCAGAAATTAGAGTTAAGTTTTCATTTGCAGTTTTCAATGAAAATTTTATAAAACACATTTAGTTGGAACCGAGGGAGTTTTTATCTTCCGTCTTAGAAATTTAGAAAACTTTGGAAAACTCTAAAAATCACTTTTTCTAATTTACATACAATTTGGAAAACAGAAAAATTTCATTTTCTTGGAAAATTCTTGAAAACCGAATCAACCAAACACGTTTTCAAAATTTCCACTTTCATTTTCATTTTTCATAAAAAACTAGAAAATTTCCCACAATCAAACACACTCTAAACTTTCACATAAAATTCAAAAACCCTTTATCCATCATCAAAAACACACATTCGTACCATTTTTTTTTGCAATCAACCGCACATAAACATCCCATTCAAAACCTAACAACCTTAACTTTTTTTTTCAGGTTATCAAGATTACCTCGGATTCCTATGCACAACACCCGGAATCAACTACCACGAGCTCCTTAACTACACACACCACCCATGTAACTACACCCTCGGCCACCCCTACAATCTAAACTCCCCTTCAATCACAATCTCCCATCTTGTTCGAACCCAAACCGTAACACGAATTGTTACAAATGTCAATGAAAAAGAAACCTACACAATCACCACAAGAATGGGTCCAGCCATAGCCATTGACTCGAGCCCACGGTCCATGACCATAGGACCCGGTGCATCACGTAGGTTCACCGTGACCCTAACCGTGAGGTCAGTAACCAGAGAGTACAGTTTTGGAGAGGTTATGTTGAAGGGAAACAGAGGGCATAAGGTTCGGGTACCCGTTGTAGCCATGGGTTATCATCGGTAGTTGTGGGGTGTAATGTAATGTGATTCTTTTGTAAAAGAGTATGGAAATAAGATTATAGAAAATGGTAGGAGTGTTTATATCGTGTAAAGAGAGCATGATAGAATGTGGTACTAGTGTGTGTGTGTGTTTTTAGTTGTAACTGTGGAGAAAGTGGTATGTGTGCATTTGGTTGATGGGTTGTGTAATACTCTTACCATTTTGTATAATCTTATTTGAACAAATAAGCCTTCTTGAAAAAAAATGTTAATGGAGCACGTTAATAACTATAAAATTGATCTCTTGAATTGATTGTTTATTGGGCAAATACCAAGAAAATCTCAAGTTTTACACACCTTGACAAAAGATGTAACTTTTTATTTTGGTTAGTAAATACCATAAGTTTTCAGATGACTTTTCATTTTTAACCTTTTATTTGGTCTATCAATCGGTTGAAAAAAAAAAAAAAAGTTTTCTGAAAACTTATGGTTTTTACCAAAACAAAAAGTTAGGCTTTTACTAACAAAGCGTGTAAAACTTGGGACTTTTTGTATTTTACTATTTTATACAAAAAAAGTTTCATAGTTTTACATGTTTTATTGCTAAAAGCCTTAATTTTATTTTATACAAAAAAAGTCTCAAAGTTTTACATGTTTTATTGCTAAAAACCTTTTTTTTTTTTTTTGTATAAATCGTATGTTTTCAGATAACCTTCCATTTAACAAAAAAAATAGGGACGACCGATTGATGACCGAATAACAGGTTAAAAATGAAAGATGGTTAAAAATGAAAGGTCATATGAAAACTTATGATTTTTACCAAACTAAAAAAAAATAATAATAATAATTAAAGCTTTTGTCAACTTCATGTGTAAAACTTGAGTTTTTTTTTTTTTTTTTTTGGTATTTGTGCATTGTTTATTCCTTGAAAGTGAAATGTATTTGTAGTGAACAAATGGAAGTGTGGAACATGATGAAGCTTGATAGAAGAAAAGATTTTGTCCCATGAGGAAACGTAGAGTTTCTCCAAACTTATAAAATGAATGAAAGGCTTTGTTGTAGAAAAAAGTGTACTAAACGAATCAAAAACAATGTTGCTATTATAGTTGAATCATAAAATCGAAACAACCAAAATTAATTTAAATATTTGCAAGATTCATCATGTATGCCATCATTAATTCAGAATCACATATTATGACATCTAAAAAACTCAAAAATGAAATACTCAAAACAACCGATTCTAAAAGGTAATTTAAAAGTTAACATAGTTACACGTCTTACACACCTATCTTCAAGACATTTTTTCCAATCCAGTCTTACTTCTTGTTTTATATGCCAATATAAAACTCAAAAGTCAATCTTGTATTGTTAAATAAGAGACATGGTATGTGATTAGCACAACCTTAAGACTTATAAAATGTCTCTTAATTAACAATTAAAAATTTTAACTTTCCTTCGTATAAGCTGCTTACTCCTATGAACTTCGTTGCTAAATACTAACAAAAAAAAAAACATAGCAAAGAAGTTGTATACTTATTGCACATTAGGAATCACATATAACTTTGACCTCCTGTTCCTTACCTGAAATAGCAATGTATATCTATCAATTATAGGCTTATAGCTACATCAACAAAGAAACAATTTTCGGTGCTATAATTTGCTAGATATTTCAATGTATAATGTTATAATAAGCAAAAATAATTAAAAATATAATGTTTTATTTCAATGAATTTTCAAAATACAATGCCTGAATTGGATAGAACTTTCAAAGTACATTTCAATTGGAAATATATAAAAGCGAAAAATCTACTATAATAAATGAAGGTTTTTTTGCTACATATCCTCTTCTCATTCATTTGGACACATGACATTTTCTATATTTTTAAAATTTTCTATTTTCCACTTGTCATTTTATTGTATTTTTCATTTTATTAAATTAAAATTCCACATTTAATGTGTAAAGTAATATATATGTAAAGTATTTATTAGAAAAAGTTTATATATGTAATGTATTCAATATATTAAAGTCTTATTAATTTTAATAATTCAAATTTTTCTCAATTTTCTTATAAATTCAAACTTTTTAAATTATTAATTTGTTTTTTTAATTAAACACATGTAATATATTGGTCTCACACCTAGTGTAGTTATAGATGGTAGTGATTTTTAAGTATTTTTATGAGAATAATGATTTGCTAAAAGTAAAGCCATATTACGCTCAACTGATTGCATATTTTAGAACATGTTTGGTTGAATACGTTTTGGAATAATTTTGAATAATAATTAGGTTAAATATGATAATATATAGGCATAAAGTTTGATACTTTGCTTATCTGTTCTTAAATGTACTTATTTTCATTACACAACTATGAAAATATATTGAGGGGAAGAGTTATATCTTTTATACTGATGGTGTTTTTGAAGAAATTTGATCACCTGATCTTAAAGAGGTGTAACTGTTTAAGGGGTGATTGGATGTGAGTGTAGACTTATCATTGCAAATTATAATCACAAAAGTTAATTATGGTTTTCTGTGTTTGATTATGGGCGTGTTCGGCAAAACTATCTGATAATGGTTAGCTGGTAGCTTTTGATTTTGAAGCTTTTTGTTGAAAACTACTTCAGGTAGCTTTTTATTTTTGAGCTTTTTATTTAAGCTAAAAGTTAAACGCTTATGTCGTCAAACAAGTCTTTTTCTTTTAACTAGCGTTTTGTTAAAAGCTAGAAGCTAGAAGCTTTCAGTAGTTGTGTGCCAAACACGCCCTAAATAGGGGTAAAGTAGATATGGAAAGGTAGATGATAATGTTGTCTTTAGAAAGTTGATTATTTCGCAAATTATAGCCCATGGTGTTGGTTTTTTTTAACAAAATATTAAGTCAAAATGTATATTTTTGGAGTGATTATGACCATTTAGTAAAAAAAAACCATAAATAGTGTTGATTTTGTGGATTTATTTTCTTCTTCTTCATGTGTTCTTAGTTGTCACTTAAAGCCATGTGATGTTAAGGTAAGTTCATGTTATAAAAGGTGCACGCCAAGGTGTGTCATGACGTGAGTCATGATATAGCCATTACGAAAACGTCAAATGCGAGTTTGTTAAGTGTAGCAGTCAAACAACGTGTCAAGGTGCGCCATATCGCATTATGGTGCGAGTTTTTTTTCAAAGCGTAGGATTTTTTTGTTTTTTATTTTTTGTTAACTTTTTATATTAAATAAACATTAAATGTTATACATATCACCATTTAATTTGGTAGGACAATTTGTAGGAATAAAAATTAGAAGGATATTTAATCTCTCTAAATGATAATATAACACTTCTAGAAACTTGATATATTTGAAATAATTCTATAATTATATTATTTATATTTTTTAATGTATATATAGTTGTCATACCTTGAAAAATATCATAGTTCGTCAAGGCTCGTCATGATTTAGGCTTAACCTTACCGCCAAATCACGCATCACATCATTTAAAACATTGGTAAATTCAATTGCTAATAGTTTTTATTAATATTATTTGACTTTATAGTCAAAATATTACTTTTTTGGTGTCAATTTGATGACATAAGTACTCCGTGGGTGAGATCAAGAGTTCGATTCTTGGCTGAGCACATTTGGAGGATTTTCCTTGGATTGGCGTGGGTTCGATTCTTCGTTCCCTTTGGTGGTGAGTGGCGCCCCTCTTGGTGGCCCGTCAGACGTTCCTGATCCATCGGATCGGGTTACCTTCTATCTATTTGTCGGTTAAAAAAAAAGGTACTTAAGTTTTAAGAAAGTGTGGGGTTATTAAATGGGCTAAATGCAAAAAGCATAAATGCACTTTCATGTATTTGTTTATTATAGTTTGGTACTTTCTTCTTTTTCAATTATAGCATTTTCAATTAAAGCATTGTATTTGAAAAATCTTTTTTTTTTTTTAATTAAGAATTGTACATTTGGGACTATATGTAGATCGGGATGTGACTAAATTCAACTAGTTAGTTGTTTGCTATCTAAATTCCATATGGTATGTTTATAACGTATATTTTACTTGATATAAAGGATTTAAGTGTAATACTTTTGTAGGATGATGATTTTTCTCTTTTTTTTTTCCCTTAAATTGCAATACTGAAAGATGGGATTGGTAAGGTGAGGATTATAGTTTGCAAACAAGTAAGACTCCATATATAATTTGTATAGTTAATTAATGTGATACATCTATGATTAATATTAGATTATTGTTAAGCCATTGAAAGCAGTTAAAATGGTTTTAAAAAGATGCTTTAGTAGGTTATGGAGCAATGTAAATGACAATGAAGAGGATTATCGGCTACGTAGTTGATTGTCTAAAATATGATACCGAGATAATTTTAAGCACCGATGAAAAATCCATATGGATTCTTGTTATGGACATTTTAAAGTTAGGCAAAATTAATTTGGTATTTAGGTTAATGAATTGGATGTTCATTACATACCAAACTTCTTTCCCTCGTTTAGTGATTCAAAGTTAGCAACAAGATTTGGCGTAGCAGGCAAAGTGCAATGCTTTAAGAGAAAATGACTTACAAGAGTAACAAAGTATCAAAATTATATAAAAATGACCATTTAACTTTTCTTTATATACATATTACAAGCAAACAATAGTCTTTGTACAGGTATAATTATTAGAACTTACATTTTGTTCAAAAATTACAATTGGTTTTACCGATATAATAGGTTACCAGCCACGTAACATGACACATGTCATCCCATCTGGCACCTGACATAGATTTTAGTGTTGATTGTTTACACATCTTACCATTAAACTTTTTATACACATTTTATCATTAAATTTTTTATATTTTACCATTAAACTTTTTATATACACATTTTACCATTAAACTTTGGTGTACATATTTTAGCATTAAACTTTTATGTACACATTTTACCAATAATCTTGCATTTTACCAAGCATGAGTATAAAGAACAAATACCACCTTTATATCAATATTTCATGCAGTCAAGGGGAAAAACATACAATTTAGGTGCAAGTTCTCCAAAACATGGGAAAGCGACAACATGAATATTTTTTGGAAAAGTGTTTTAGTTAGCAATGATTAAAATTTTGGCCGCATGGATGGTGATGTTTAAAAAATGTATGTGGTTTTCCCATACCTCAAATGCCATGATATCGATTTGTTGGATTTGCAGGAGTGATGAGTATTCAATAAAAAAAAATATCATAATATACTAAATCAGTGATATAGGTTATTTGGATTGTTAAGAAGACAAAACCTTTTGATAATTAATTGGTATTCAGACA